CTGACATCATTATTGTATTAATTGAATAATGTAAGGTTTCGTATTGTCATGATGAAATTTCCAATCTGACACTGTTTGTCATGTTATAATCACAAGATATTATATCATGTTAAATGTAAATATATAATACTATTCAAGTACCAATAAAATATGGATATGAAATTCTTGGAATAGATTTCACATTATTAAAACAATTTTTCCTTGTTTCATCAACAAGAAACATTGATCATTGAATAATTTACATTTAAATTCATTGAATCGTTCAATTTGAAATGAATTTAGCTAAAGTCTATACAAACGAATATTACAAGAGAAATAATTGAAATACTGAGAGGCTTATTTTTTATGTCTTTTAAAAAGAGCACAAATTTATAACTTTTTATTCATCGAAAATACTTTCTAGCAGGTCTACAATGAATAAACATTTCGTCTCAAAAGTTTTCGATCATTCTTTATTTTTAACTAAAAACAATCGTCAATTATTGACCGATATTTTTTTCTTTTTGCTGTGATATAATTCGCTTACAATCGTAGAATATTTAACTATTATCTTTAGTTCCGATTGGGATAACTTTTTTATCATAATTCCGGTTTCACACATTTCTACGCATATATCAATAATTGTTTATGTAATCGAACTTGCCAGTCTGTTATCATTATTTATCATAAAATTAATTCAATCTTAGATATATATATACGAATTTGAAAGTCAAAATATACTGATGAATATTTCATAAGTTTTATTCTATTAAAAACAAACAATTGATTAGTATTTTTTTGTTTATACAAAGTCATATATTTATAGACTAGTTCTATTCAAAAAAGAATCACAAACGATTTATTACCATATTCTTATGATTAGTTGTTATCATTCACTTTTTAATTTTTATATAAAAAATAATTTCTTCAATCTTGGTTTAATTATTTTTGTTTTTCTGCAAAAAAAGAAGTCTGAATAACCAACAATTATAATTTTGATCTTTTTGTACTATTTATTACTAATAAAAAAAACAAGAAAAGAATAAACTTGCTATTAGACATTCGATGTGTTTTCTTCTTAACAAATTTTGAAATCTAAAATATCTGAAAAACAAAACAAACTTACCTGTTGTTCCTTCACAGCCACAGACGAAATTAACTAGTTATGCCTAGAATTGTTTTAAATAAAAAGTGAGAATAAAGTGAACTGAAGCTAATGGCAGAATAAAAATTTTTTTCAATACAAAAATTTGAAGCATAACAAATGCTGTAGGATGACCTAATAATATGTTGTTAAGAAAAATTTAATTCAAACGAAGAAAAAAAAAAGGTTTTGCTACTCTAGCCTGTCTTCTATTTAGGAGAAACAAAATGACCCCATTAAAAAAGTTTATTCCTTCTCCTATATATTTATATATATATCTTGCTGTTAACAACGTTTGCAATAAGTTTACTCTTACTACAGACTTAAAAGTTAAATAGATTGTGCAAACAAGAAAAAAAAACTGAAAAGTAAATGATTGAAATCATTTTAATACATTCTTTTACATACAACAACGTCATTACATATTAGTCAAGGATACTATATGTTAAAACAACTACTATGAGTTTAAAAAAGTAACAAAATTTAGTATAATTTAATAAAACATACATTGAAAATTAATTGAAACTAAATTCAATTTTCTTTGTGAGTATTTTTGCTTGTCCAACGAATCATAATCGAATACGGTCGATTTTCGAGGGACAATTTCTTTTAAGTAGATGTTGACAAGTTTGATTAAGTATATAATTGAAAATACGTTTAACATTGATCCATTTAGTTTCTTTCATTCTTTTTTTGAAATGTAACATATTTTAAAAGAATTAAATAGAAAAGCAAAAAAATAAGAAAAAAAAAACTTGTGAAGATAGATCTCTTCTTTTTTTTTATTTTTTAATATGAATATATTTTACATTTTTTTATTTCTTTATCTGGACATTCACGAAGTTTATCAAAATAATAAAAAAATCCATCTTTTCGACGTTGTAATTTTTTAACAAAACCACTATCAGGCCATACATCAATCTATTAAATAAAAAAATAATAATAATAAATAAATAATAGAATTTACATTAAAATAATAAAATAATCAATGACCTCAGCTACTTGTCGAAGACGTTTATATTCAAGTTCATCACGATAACCAGCTAATTGAAACCGATAAGCATTTTCAACTTCTTTTGACCAATGTGTTGGACGAATTAATGATTTAGGTTCGAGTAATGTTAAAGCGGATGCAGCCATAAGGATCAAATTTTTTTTTGTAATATGTCCTTACAATACAAGAACAAAAAAAACACGATGTTAGTTCGAATCAATAATTTATACAATAGTGTAAAACATGATGGCATAGAAAATATTGTTATGATAGAAATACCTCTTTATTGTTCGTTTAAAAAACTTTTTGATTTTAAAATAGATGTCGTGAACTCTACATAGAGTGAAATCATGTCTTTCAAATAAAGACGTGTTGAGTTTCGTTAATCAATTACACACTGAACTTTACATAAACATCGATAACGTTAACGGTCTTAAACCACTTAGATCTGACCAAAAATTCTGATAACAGTGCTGACTAGACAAAACTCAATTCTAACAAAAAAAATTTTTGAAAAATAGATAATGAATTCGATAATTCGGACTATTTTGGGAATAGATGCAAAGACAATTCGCAAGAACCTTATAACAATATTGGAACGTAACGCTCCATCATATTGAATAGTTGCCAGATGGGCAACACATTTTCATGAGGAAAGAGAAGATTTCAATGATGATTCTCAGCCTCAGCATCCGGTTTTCGAGCTCACAAACAGAGATAAAACTGGTCTGGATCTTTTACGACCGGCACCAGTATCAGTCTGAGTGGGCCAGATCAACTAGTTGGTAGAGCCATCGGGTCCAAGAATTTTCGGACCCCATGGGCTCTACCGGTTAGTAACCTGTGCCGATTCCATCTCTTCGAAACTACTCTCTCTCTCTCTCTCGTGGTACAATAGAGCGAATTATTCGCGATTGTCTATACATGAGAAAAGTTACAATCATGTTGGCTACCTCATCAATTCAATGATGAACAAAAGCAAGAACGAGTTAGAATATGTACTATGTAAATCAGTTAAGAAAATCTTAATATCCTTTTGAAAAAATGATGATGCGTCATGCATGAGACGCCTAATTCGAGTTCGAATATAAATGAACCTTCGAATGCGTAATATCACTACGAAAATAAACGAAAAAACGGCACCCATGTTATTTTGGCAAAAAAGCAAAAGATAAAATTTATCCTAGTTATAAATTTACAATTCGAATTGAGATACTTATAGAAGTCTTATATGTAAAACTTTAAACTTGAATTCAATTGAGTTTTGAAGTTTCAAGTCCAAAGGTAATCGAGGGTGGAGAACTCGAATCTGATATTTCTTTTAATTAATTATTAACCAATTATTAATTAATTATTAACTACTCATTAATTATCTATGTTTTCCATAAACCTTCACCAAAGGGTAATCGGGAGTGAGGAATTGAAATCTGACGTCAGTTTTAACTAATTAATTATCAGCCAATTATTAAATAATTATCAATTATTATTATTTTTCGTAAAACTTCACTAAAGGTAATCACAGGTGAGGAGTCCAAATCTGAGATCAGTTTTAATTAATTAATTAATAATTAGTTATTAACTATTTCCTATTGTGTATTTTCTTGGTTTCTTTTCTTATTGTGTTTCTTTTTTATGAAATTACTCATGTACTTTCCCAATTGTATTGTTACTTACTTGGAATATCTAATCCTCTATCTAACATTTGGTATAAATACCTGCTGTTTTTTATGTGAGAGTATCTAATTTAGGTTAGAAATAAACTTATATACACAATAAAGTATTAAAAATCTAATATCTGAAAGCAGCTCTTCTACGAGAAAGAGCTGAGCGAGTCTATAGACGAGCGTTACTGTATACCAAGCTTGAAAATTCAATTCAACTATTTAATAAATGAATACTTGAACTTCAAGTTTTGAAGTATTCAGCTATTCGATCGCTGAATAGTTGAAGTTCACCTATTCAAGTATTCAGTTATCCAATAATTCAATAGTTGAACTTTAAATATTCGATAGTGTCAGTTCTAAAAGTTGCCTTGAACTCTTCCATAAACTTGTGAATATTGACTGATGGCGGTAAGCGCTTTTTCCCGACTAACTGGCCTTTTATATCAGTATCGCGGCGTGGGGCGCGAAGCGCTCCTCGAAAAGCCATGATCCATGCTCGTCTCTGTGTACACAGCAATCGAAGTATATTATATTTAGACCCACTACTGAATACTTAAATATTTGAACTTCAAATATTCAATAACTAAATAGTTGAAATAACTATTCAATAATTGAATTCAAGGTTCAAGTTTTACATATATGTGCCCGCGAAGGCACTGATCGCGAAAGAAGTGGTCACAATACGACACATATCACATCGCACGTGATCTGGGTGCCGCGAAAGGAGTGGCCACAATACGACACACGTCACATCGCACCTGGTGTGGGTGCCGCGAAAGAACTGGTCCGAAAAGGGTTGAAACTTGAAAACTCAATTCAATTCATGTTTCAAGCTTGACATACAGTAACGCTCGTCTACAGACTCGCTCAGCTCTTTCTCGTAGAAGGACTGCTTTCAGATATTAGATTTTTAATACTTTATTGTGTATATAAGTTTATTTCTGACCTAAATTAGATACTCTCACATAAAAAACAGCAGGTATTTATAAATTCATCATCATCATTTATGATATTATATTGCAAAAGAAAATTCTTCAATATATCATTCATATACTGTTATTATTAAATAAACTCAAAGAAGTTATGAATGGAATATAATTCATCATGGTCAATATAATGATTTATTAAAATTTTTTCCTATTAGAAAGAAAATTTATATGAAATATAATAATTTATTTGATTAGAAAAATTAATTATTTTGTATATAATTTTATTCATCATGAACAAAAGTGAAATTCTTGATATTTTAGCAAATTCAACTGGAAATGTAAATGAAATTGCTTTTATTATTAAAGGTTTTGACTTTTTTTAAACCTAGATTGAACGTCTTGAAGAGGATGAAAAAGAATTGGAAAACAAAAACAACAATCCGAACAATACTGAAACAGAAGAACAAAAAAAAGAGCGTGCATTTCAACAAGTTTTGGTTTCTTTTGTCGCCGAACGAACACTTACTGAAAGAGATAAAGAACTTGAAAAACAATTGAGTAAGTCAACTTTTTTCAAACTTATTCATATTTAACTAATTTTTAAAACAGAATTAGATACCAAAATTGGTAATGTATTAGTCATTGGATTGCCAAAAAGTGGAAAGGTAAAATAGATCATTCTTTTTAAAGATAAAGATGTATTTTATTTTTAGAGTACTATGTTAAAAACTCTTAAAGCAAATACAGGTGGTGATTTAGTAGCAAATGGTGATAATAGTATGAAATTTATAGTTTTCTTTTTTTTCATTACAATTTTTCTATCGTTTCAGAAGAATTACACCTAAACAATATCAAAATATCAATATTTAATTGTTTAGGCGATAATAAAGATCGTGTTTTAAAAAGTGTTTCAGGTGTTAACGTTGATGCAATAATTTTTCTTATCGACGCGATCAATCCTCGTGTTTTTTTACAAGCTAAAAAAGAATTAGCACACTAATCGACGATCTTGCCCTATTCTTTCCAGGTTCTTGTTTTTCTTTACTTTCAGACAAGATTCCTGTATTCAGGCAAGATTCTTTTCGACAGGAAAGTAAAAAGAATCTTGTCTGAATTTCAAAATGACAAGAATCTCGTCTAATTAATCAGAAATAAAATAGTCAGGCAAGAACCATAAGATATTCAAGATATATTTAACGTTCAGACAAGAATCTTTTTGTATTCTTTTAAAAAGAATTCTGTCTGAAGTTCAAGATCAAAAGAATCTTGCCTGAAAATTATAAAAAAAAACAGAAACTGGAAAGAAATATAAGATATTTTAAATTTTTTAGTATTCAGACAAGATTCTTATGATAGGAAAGAAACAGATTCTTGGCAGCTTTCCAAGATCAACGGCACGTGATGTTGTCTTTGTATGATCAAATATATAAAGGCAATGTCTGAACGTTATTTATTCATTATTGATTCGATAGGTAGTACAATTCACTTTGAATATGTACTTTTCCTAAAGCGTTCATTTCATTCAAACAACATCTAGCAACTCATTATTTCAATTGAATGTATAGAAAAAATTTCCATTCAATATCGACAAAACAATGGAATATATGATATCTTTTTTTCCTTTGTTTTCAGAAAACTTACACTTATTGAACACATTTCGATATTTTACCAATCCATATCTTTCTATTTTATTTTTTTTTGGATTTTCTTTCATTATCCACAAAAGTGTTTTTTTTAACGGACGAAGAAAATCTCGATTCGTTCAAAAAATTATTGTTTGATAATGCTCTTGGTAATATAGGTAATATCTATATGCACTTTATATCTTTTTGGCTCCCATACTATCTTTTTTAGAGTCATCACCACATACAGATAAACAACGTCGATGACGTGCTAAGAAAAAAGAGCAACATCATCGTACTCAATTATCTCTACATCGTTTACTAGTTGAACAAATGGTAAATAACTTATTTTAATTGAGCTAGCTCAACATACGACGATGATGAAGTTTGAAAAAATAAGCATTTTTTTTTTGATAATGAAAATTTTGTTTTTTTTGTGTTAAAAAACTGAAACTGCTTTAATAACATGTGAAATTAAAAGTATTTTTTTGTTTTTTTTACATTTTTTTGTACACGGTGTGCAAAACTTATAATAAAATGATATGAAAAAGAAAGTAATAATAATCTACAAAAGGCTTTTTAATGTGACCAGAATCAGCCAAGAAACACAAGAAATAAGAAACAGACAAGAATCTAAGAAAAAAAGAATTAGGCAAGAACATCAAGAAGAATAAGAATCAGACAAGAATTCATGAAAAGCAAGAATCAGGCAAGAAGACAAGAATATAAGAATCTTGTCTGGAGAAGAACTTCTTGCCTCACCAGCCAAGATTCGGTCTACACGAATCTTGTCAGAAAGGCAAGATCAGTTTCTTCAGGCAAGAATCTTGTCTGAAAACCAAGAAAAACAAGAACCTGGAAAGAATAGGGCAAGATCGTCGATTAGTGCAGTATGTATTACATTATTTTTTATGTAAAACAATTATTTTTTTTTAATAGAATTTATTGATGAACAAAAATTTTTCTTATATGCCAATTATGATATTGTTAACAAAAACGGATCTTGATGGATAGGGGTACACCAGTGCCAGTAACTGGGTCCCAGTCGGACTGGATACCCAGTCCAACTGGGTACTTAGTCATTTGACGTTTATTCCGCTAATCAATCAGTACTTCCCTCTTTTCTAAGGGTGTGGGTGTGGGTGTGGGTGTGGGTTTGATGTTGGTATGGGTGTCGTTATTGTCATTCTAACCATTCCCACATCCAAACAACATCCACCCCCACATCCATCCAAACAACACCCACATCCACACACCTACACCCTAGCCACACCCACACCCTGAAGACATGAAATTTATTTATAGTATTCTAAATTATAACGATTGATATATAGATATATATGATTAGCCAATGGATTCAGTGTTATAGTTTATATCAGTACTTCAACAGCCTAAGAATCATTGTATGACAATATACTAATTCAAGACTGGGACTGGTGCATCCCTATTGATGGAACTCTTAGTGAAAGTGATATTCGTGATGTTTTTGACATTCCTGAAGTAAGAACTGAAGAAATAAACAAATTTATTCTTCTATTAAAATATTCTTTTAGGATGTTCTATGGTATAAATCAGTACACGATCGAGTTGTTTTTATCTTTTGCTATAATTTTCACAAGCAATGTACATTTGCGTGCGCATTCAGATACATTAGTCTTTTTTTAAAAGACTTATAAAATTTATTTTAAAACAAAAAGTAGCTTTCGATATTGGGTTTGAGTAACGTTTCAATCATAGCTACACTCACACCCACACCCCAACATGGTATCGATATAATATCACACCCACTGTTTTCACCAGACTTTGCATAATATGATTTTGGACTAAGTGATTATATCTAGCGCAATTTAACTTATCAAACAAATGAAAAATTGTTGGCCAAGATAATTAAAAATATCTCTTTATTTTCATTAAATGTGATCAGAACTTGTGATCAGCTAATTTTCAACCGAAATTTTTTACAATTATATAAACAATAAGTCAGACAGTAAAACTCATAGTATGACAATAGTAAAGATAAATCTTTTAAATTAACATGTCTTATCTTTGAAGACCTTATGTAGTATCGCTTGATACAAGATAAGGAAAACGAAATTGAAATCTTAGTTTCAATTTTTTTCATTAATAACTTATGTCGCATGTTTGCTCAGACTACCAGTAGTAGTTATCACATGGATACTTTTTTTTGGAGTGCAAAATACATTGTCTATGCAGTGGTGATGAAATAATTTTGATCAATTTGATTAGATAGAATTAGATTTTCTTTCATTTAAATTGTTTAATGTTTACATTAAGACCATACAAGATCTTATCATATCATTGTTTGAATTGAGTATGTGAACTTTTGAACTTCATTCATCGAATATTGTTGGTCATAAGTGCATGTCGTGTCTATCATACATTCAGATATATGACTCTTATCATAATGATATACTTGACAAGTACGTTTATTTGCCATAAGAATTACGAAACAAAAAGAAGAGATTATTTTATAAAAAAAAAATGACATTTGTATCAGACAATTGATTCAAGATATGCTCAATTGAATTTTTAATTTACTAATAATAATGTAGTGATTAGCTCGTATGTTAGAAGCGTCGACCTTAAAGAAAATCTTTGGCAGATTATAAAATAAAATGTAGAAAAAACACCCTTGTTTAACTCTTTTCTTATTGAGATAAACGAAGAAAACTTAAGATGATGATACACAATAGTACTCTCTATAAGAGTATATATACAAAATATTTGTAGAATGAGAAGTGTTAGATTTCTTTTTTTGTAAATACATATTATCTATATATGCATTACTTCCATAATCGTTTTTATACATGAAAAAGGTAGGAATATTTGTCCGTTACCCTAATTGAACGACGGAAAGGAAAAAAATCTTTATATAAATGATAAATAACTGCAGGTTAGATTTCTCTTGTCATTTAAAATAGATTGTAGATCTACACCATAAAATGAATGCAAAAAGGAAAGGAAGAGCAAGAGAAATTATGAAGTATTTTTAATAGAAAATATTCTAAGCTAGAATTTTCTGTAGATGAACAGGAAATTGTTCAACAAGTCTTGTCTGTAAAAAAAAAAAAGAACGGTAGACATAAAGAAATGCTATGATACTCTTTAATTTCAATATTAATTCTTCTTCCCACTATAATATCATCAAAAGTAATCTTATTTCCTTACAATATTGCTTTACTTTCTCCAATTATCTTCTTTTCTTTAACATAAAAGAAAAAAAACTTTTACAGACTAAAAATTAAAAATTCTTCGTTAATTCAAAGTCAATTCTATATTACACATTGTATCTAAAAATGATTTATATGAAACTTGTTTCTCGTTTGGATTAATACTTGTTTAATCTTTACAATTAAACGTGATACAAACAACGTTAGGATTAGCGTACTAAATCGAATGAATGCAGTGTCACACGGTATGTCAACATTAACACTAGATGTGATCTTTATTTATTCAGATAATTTTTGGAGTTAAAGATTACTTTTTGAAACTGAAGATTAAAGTGAAATTTCTTAATGGTGATGTAGATTTATTACTTTGCTAAAGTACTACGTTCTTATTACATAGAATGATAAAATATTGCATTTATGAGAAAAGAATTTAAAATCTATGTTCGACGATTATGAGATAAATGAAATGAGTGGATTATATTGACGGTATGGGAACAAACATGTGCATCTCAATGTCATCAAAATCGATCCAGTTTTGATGTGATTAATCGGTTATTATTTGGACTTTAGAAAAAAAAAACTATGGCTTTTTATTATTTACGGCATATGAGGAAGATAAAATCAGCTTTTTTCTTCATCGTTGATAAAAGACGGTCGTACACCTGTTGAGACATAGTCGTAGTCTTAAAGACGAACATAACTATTATATGATCCAAAATAAAAGACAGATTACTATTTTTCGAATAACTTTTGATGATAGGAACGAGATAGAGAGCTGCGGTTTTCACCATTCGAAAGAGCAATATCAGGGCCATTCATCGCTATAGAATTCATTAAGATGAAAGACACTTTTTCCGTTTGAGTATTTTCACAATAATCTCAACTCAAATTACCTTTTTGTTTTTCGCTATAAAATTATCACATATTTCATTATTTCTCAATCTCTTATTCTAAGCGGATAATAATAATAAAAAAATGTTAATTTTAAATTTCAGTTGAGATTATTGTAAAAATACTGAAAGGAAAAAGTATTAATCCCAAGATATCTATAAAAAAGCATCTTTGTTCTTAATGAGATCTATACCGATCAATGGTCCGGACATTGCTCTTTCGAATGGTGAAAACCGCAACTCTTTATCTTGTTCCTATTAAAAGTTATTGATGGACGTCACAGTATCCATAACTCG